ATATTAATATTGAAACATCGCAGGATTTCTCAAACTGAAAACTTCTCCACTCTTAAATTGTTTTTGTGGCAGCGGTTTAAACAAACAAACAAACAAACAAAAAAAAAAACAGGCACCAAACCCATGCTGGCTCCTGCAGCTCCGTGCTGAAAGCCCCGTCACACTAGACAACTTTTGAGACCTTTTTTATGTCTAAAATGCTAATAAAAGTTATATATTTGATCAATTTGTTCAAATGACATGACGTACACACAGAAAAGAAGCTTCCTGTTGTTTTTTTTTCAGTTCCACCTTCAATGTAGACGTCTTTAAAATGTTCATAAGTTGGTATAAGTTGTCTAGTGTGACAGGGCCTCGAGAGGAAAACTCTGTCAAGTTTTTATGTAAACAAAAACAAAATTAAAGCCAAGTTCATGTGGTGAGTTGTAAACTTTGAAGTGGAGAAAATAAATGTTGAACAATCCTGCCAAAGAATAACAAACATTGAATAATATCCTGTTAGCATCCCAAAATAATTTAATGATCTTTTCTCCGGTTTACGCTACGAAACAAAAGAAATGAACTATTGAAATAACGTGCGATAAGCTGTTTTATATCTGTGTTTTAGACCAAGAATGATGCATAAATATTCTCTTTTGTTGGCTCTGAATGTTTAAACGGGAACAAAAGGCTCATTTTAATCCTGTGAAAGAGTTCATGTTTGCCAACAAAGTGAAAATGAAGGCGTTCCGCCTGGCCGACCTGAGTGTGGGCTCCAGGTGCCAGGTGTTGCACATGAACTCCCTCCAGTCCACCGTGGTGTAGTTGACGCCGTCGTCCTTGTCCTTGTCGGAGTCGTCGTCGTCGTGCAGAGCAGTCGGGCTTTTCTGACCCGGCCGAGTCGCGTACATCCGGGGGGCGAAAAGCGCTGAGGGTGGGGGAGGAAGAAAAGCAATCAGGTGGAAACACTCCGCTACCCACGTTTTTTACTTTAAACACRGCAGACATTTTGTTTTTAAAACAACAGACGGGGCTCAGCACACACTTATTAGAATAACAAAGAGCTCAGTCGGCACCTTTAAGATATAGATCTGCTCGCCGGGCCCACCTCAATTAATCAGGATTAAACAAACATGGATGAAAAGCTGAAAAGCTTCAGCACTCGCCTCTTTTGCTTCTTCTCGGAATAAACAGAAGCGGGCTCTGGTTTAATTGTTGTGAAGAATGTGAGCTTTGCCAGCATGAAGAGAGCTCATTTGTTCTTTTGTGACAACGTGAAAGCCATTAAAATGCTGCCGGCTTCAGGCTCCCTGACCTCCCTGCTGTGTGTGGAAATAACACTCGGCTCCCCGGCTCCAGAAAGTGCCCAACAGCATACAAACAGCTTCGCAGGTGCAGAGGCTCGTTTTCACGTTTCCCATTAGACTGGGAGGATGAGTCACTTTCTTCTGTTCGGCTCCCTGTTGGCGCCGGCTGACGGCCGTTCTTTATGTGCACATGAATGAATCTGGAGGCAGCTGCGATCAGTAAAGCTTGTTTTTTTTTTCTCTCAACGAACCAGAGCAGAACAAACCTTTCTCCTTCTCCTTCAGGTAGGCCGACACCAGGTCGTGGAGGAACATGATCAGCTCGGCGTCCATGGTGACGCAGATGTGGTCGGTGAACTCGGTCACCATGCTGCACTCCACTTTAGGTTTGCTGCTGGAGTCTGGACACACAAACAAATTCAAGCTCTGATATTCTGTTAAGAAATGATGTTTGAGCGCTGAAAGCGTGTGCAGAGGACGACTCTGTGCTGCTGACACATGTGACATGAATATACATCAAATGCAAAATGTCAGTTAAAATATATTTACATTTAAAGAGTAACTTACCCCAAAATTAACTTTTTTTAGCTGATAAACTGTCTAGAATGTGTCTAAAAT